AATTCGTACTTTTTCGATCAGACTTCTCAATCAAAGGTTATAGACTAGAAACCAATTTCGAAAAAAAATTCAAAAGGCTGTAACTTTTGAACTAGTAGCCCAATCTTGGAACTGTTTGAAATTATGGATTCTACAGGCCACATTCTATAAGAAAATTTTTTTTCCTGGGCGATCTGAGACAATGTTTTTTGCGGGGCTCAGAAAAAGGCAGTGTATAACCAGGGGCGCACTGGCCCGGGGGGGCGGGTGGCGATTGCCACCTGGCCTGTAGATCATAATGGCCCGTTGGAAATTTATAAGTATGTGCTGTATTTAGTTTCTTGCACTACTAATAAATTATTAACACATTTCTTTAATTGGAGTTGGGGTTCTTAAAAAATTATGTTTTAATTGAAGTGTTTTACAATGAATTTATCATTTTTTGTCGTAGCATGAAAGTGCTGAAATACAATGATAGGCGACGCACCTCGTGTGGATTGTATATTTTGTTACTTTTAATTATCAGCTGCAATTAAAAAAAAACTGTATGGTAATTTATTTTCGAGAAAGGAGTACTTTAAAATATTTTTGTGGTGCACCTCAGAGCTACTCCCTCCCCACCCCCCACCTTCATTACTACACTAATACTTTAATGGCCCGTGACCTATGCAATTCCACCTGGCCCGCAGTTACTCAGTCCGCCCCTGAGTGACAGTGAAATGTTCTTTTCCATAAAAAGAAAACCGGGCAGGTTCAAACTGAGTTGCTGGTTAACTTTTTTTACGTTACAGAAAATTTACTCTAGTATTCCTATGGGAGTTTTGGTTGACCACTTTTCGGACGCTGTACAGTGTAACAGGTAATTATAAAATGGTTTTCTATTTGGAATGACGATGCAAAATTGTTCATGGCTTCGATAGTATTTTTTTTCAAACTTAATTTATTTAGATGACGCCGAAGCTGTCTAAAATTGACAACAGCTCCAATCTATTTTTTAAAAAAACCAATTCCAATAAAAAATACTTCGCGTACTCTCTCGAGGTGGAATAAAAACGGTCCTGTTGCATCCGAGTAATTGATGAAGGCTGATGCTAAGTGAAAACAAAAAGAAACGCATGCTTGTAATGCTGCAGCGCTAAGGATTAATCGACCTCTTATCTTCCCGTGACCGAACATAACGACTTGCTTAATTAACAACTACAAATCGGTTCTTGCTCCTTAAACAAACGACTTTACACCACGCCACGAAACAGAAAATTAATAAATTGATAGGAACGATTAATTATAAAAATGATATGTGTTATTAGCTTGTGTACCGGTTAGCATGTCGAATTTGATTGAGGAAGACTCTTAATTCATCAGCTCCTTCGAAAATAAATCATCTTAAATAAATTGTGCATTTCCTCCACTTCGGGTTACTTAAATTTATCACCGGTTTCCCACATTTATCCAAAAAATAGCCGATTAAATTGGAGGAGTACGGGGCAATGCCAAATGTGATAAATAATATCAAGATACAGGCTGGGTTTTGCATAGGAAATCGAGCAGCTCCATTTTTCATCTAAATAGTATAATGGCGTACGTATTTATTCAGCATACTGAGCATTCTTAGGAGTTAACCACTGAAACCGCCCGTAATTCGCAACGCTAAGGGTGTGTTTGCATAAAAATGTTGTTTTGGCAATTAAATTTTTGCGTCTTGTCTGTTTCATACTGGACCAGCGTAATAGTAGATGTCAATTCTCCAATAACTTTTGGAAAATTACTTTTTATGTGTTTTTGGTATGGAAGGAAATCGTAAATAGTTGAATTAGACGTGCGTCTTCTTGCGATAGGAATTTGAGAGAGGTGCAAATTTTGAGTTTTGTGAGCGAAGTTGGCTTATTTAAAAAACATTTTTTAATTCCTTCTACCATTCACTTTTATCGCATTTCCCTAAAACAAAGTTGCGTCATTGCTTTACATTTGTCTGCCTGCGTTATCCAAACTACTCTTTCAATTTTTCAGATATCTATATCTAGTCTTTTACATTTCATTTGTATTCTGTAATAGTTATTTGTACAGCTAGAGAAGAAAGTGGACTTTCTTTTGAAAAACACTTTCTTCTCAAGTTTTACGCATATTTTTTTCTGAAACTACAATCAAAATTAAAAAATTATCGTATGCAATAATGAAGTTTGACACGGGGTATGTTTTAATTTTGAATGTCATGTTTAAGATTAATTCTGCAAATGTTTTTTACTTTTTACTTTTTTACTTGCTAGAGAGGAATATCACATTTTCTTCACTCTTTTTAGAGATGAAAGTAGTTGTTTCTAAAGTAGTTTCAGAAAAAATTGTTTTCGGCGTCTTTTTGTTCATATACGGGCATGTTTTTGTCATGCATTGATAGTTGACATCAAACTATACGAACGGCTAGAAAAATCACCATGACCGACTGTTACAACACGTTTAACACGCTTAAAATTATCTCCTGCTATTCCCATCGTGGTGCAAAAGAGAAGAAATGAGTTATTTTATATTGCTCTCGTCCCTGTATTAAAAAAAAAACGTTCTTGAAAATCAAAATTTCAATACTTGCCAGTAGAATGGTTAAAAAAACTATTTACCTGAAGAACATTGGCAAGTTTATCTTCAATTTCGAATTTGAAAGTCAACAGTATCAAAATTTGGAGATTGAAGGGCGCACACAAAAGTTTTCATATCAAACGATTTTCTGATGTGCTGGCACGTGAAGGTGAAGGGTAAATCATGATCCAGATCTTCCTCTAAAATTCTCTCTTTGTTTCAGCATTCCTGTGTGTAAAGTCTTAATGCTCCGAATTTTTAAATACAAGGTTTTGAATTGCAAATGAAAATCACCAGTGAACATTATTCGTGGCTCCACAATCGCAGCGTTTGTGGATCCTTTATACATCAAACTCTAGAATGTTACGAATGTCTTTCAAATTTGAAATTCACGCCTTCATGAACAAATTATTAATTTTTTGGTTTTCAAAATGACAAATTGTCAGGTTTTAAGCTTGACAATTCTTGTCAGAATTGCAATTCGCGCACGTAATTTTTGTACATCTTTTCACCCTAGATTTGCAAATGTTGGCTATTTATCTTGACGTTCTCTGATTTTAATTATTTAATGTGTGGTTTTTGTCCTCCACATTTTAAACGCACGGATTACAAATTGGAATTTGAAAATTAGAAACTTCGTTTCAGATTCAGAATCACTGATTGAGTTAATCTACAAAGCTGCGAAAGCGTAACATTATTTTCTCCAATGTTAAATGTTATTTCAGAATAGAAAATATATTTTTTGTTCATTTCTTAACTCTCGAATTTTGACTATCACGGTTTCGGCCTAAAAATACACGTTTTCATGATCCTTTCTTAATCCAGTCTTCGCAATCCAAATTTTAAAACGCAAGGTTTCAAATGGATATTTAAATGGTACGCTAAAAAATCTCTCAATGTTAAAAGTGGATATTTCTTTTCCGATTTAGATACCAAAATTTTGAAACTTGACATATAAATCTACGAATGTGTCCAAGATAAGGATGTCTATCATGGGGATCTCCAAAACCATAGAAGATAGGTACGACGATGGTCAAATTAAGAAAAGATGCGCAATTAGAGAGAGTTATCGTGTTTTATACTCGTAGAAAACCAGACAATTAATTAATTGTGAATATCTCGAAAATGTAATATTTCGGAAAATCTCTAAGGGTTTGATTCTTCTTGACGGCCTTTAAATGTTTATGTCTAAAGAGCCCCCTTCCCATTAATCATCTACCAAGAAAGTAAACATCGATAAATATAGTACTACCTTAAGTATAACGCAAGCGTTTACTAAGCTATTTCGGTTTTAAAAAATGCGCTTTATCTGCACAAGAGTTGTGCACAATTTATACTTGTTTTATTCTTTTTTCAACCATATACTATGATGGACAAAGAAAGAAAATTAAGATTTTGCACCTTTGCTAAAACGTGTACGTGGATACACAAAACAAGGTGTCGCAAAAATCAGTGCAAAATTCGTAATTCACTATGTAAAATGGCCACTAGATTGGAAATGTTGGTACGTAGGCATTACGATTAAAAATCTCGTATCTCCGTTAATATTAACGCCCAAAATGCGAGAGTACAAATGAGCACAAACTGAGAACAATTTTGTGTAAAATTGAACTTGGTTCGATATACTGGCACATAGACCATTAATATTTCTGCACAAAACGTTGCAATTGGCGCATAAATCAGTATAAAACGAGCACAAATGGGCATTGCGTTTCTCGAATGTGGGACATTTATGCACGTTAGCCTGCAGGTTTAAGAAAATAAAAAACGCTGTGCATTTTTTTGCAAAAACACACGGCGTTTTTTATTCGGCTCGAAAAAGTCAAGCTAAACATTGTTGTATAGGTAGGTAAATAACAAGTTGGGATACATTTTGTTCCAAAATTCATACCACAGAAAGTATTGTTACACATGAATAACCTAGGAATGAAATATATCGACTTCTATATTAGCAATTAATTTTTCCGTTTCCCGATTCACTTGAAGTCCCTCGTTCCTGTTGACCTAGCTACTTGTAAATCAATACCGTCCTACCTTAATGTTTAAGGACCCGCATGTCAAATTTCAACACGATCCGTTGCTTTTACAAAGTGATCGTGCACACGGACGAACGGACAACAATAAGAAACTATAAAGGATCTGAGAATCCTTAACAAAGATTTTGGTATGTAATACTATTTCACGGGCTCTATCAAATCCATTGACTGCACCTATAAAACCTACACCTCTATACGAACGTCCCTACAGAATAAAGAACGAATCGTTGCCTTAATCTTAATACGATAAATTCAATTGGAGATGGTGCCGTCCCCAACGTGGAAAATGAAGAAGTGAAAACATGCTAACGAGACAGTCTTTGCAGGAAACTGTGCCAAGACGCGTGAAAATAGGTCAAACAGTCGATGCGGCAACTTAATATTTAAGAACCAGAATGCGTATTATCAAACCTAAATAATTCCATAAGTGTATTAAAAATGCACTAACCGTGGCGGCGAAACTGCGCTTACAGCAGTCCGAACGACCAAACTTCGGCAACGTTTCTGAAGATGTCGAAGCTCATCTTCGGCCGCAAGGAGACGTTCGCTCATTTTCGCTCTGGCAGAGCAATCGGGCGCCATAATTGCCTCGAGTTGCCTCATCAGGTGACGGATCGACGCAAGTTTTCTTTCCCGTTTGCCGTGCTCGTGCTCGGATCCTTCGTCAGAAATGCCGCTGTCTGAATAGGAGCTCTCGCTTAACAATCCAGGCAGGCTTGAATCCTACAACAAGTGAACAAACTATAGCGGGCTTGGTTTATCGACGTCTTCGTCGCTCCGGATGAACCGCCCCAGTAATGAAAAGCGCCGCGCTGCATACAAAACAGATTTCAAACGGTCAAAGCAATCACTAACTTATACGTTGCAGTGGCGTTCCCGCAACTTAGATACGTTCTACTTTAATGCAGGAAATTTATAATATTTCAGTACTTTTGCGCGTATTTATTAGTAAGCAAAGCCACCACCTCATAACAGGGATAATTTTGCAATAATAAACTACAACTTTGCTTTCGCGTTGGCTTTTTCGGAAGCATCATAAAGACAGTACGCTCTCAGAAGCGATATTAAATTTGTATTTTTACGCTGATTCCATCGAATATCTCAGCAACGTGACCAGAAATTCGATTGAGGTGCGATTAACGATCCGGAAGCGGCACCATTACGTTCGCAGACTAGTCGTGGAAATGCCCAAAATAGATCTCTTAATTGCGTTAATATAGTGCAAAAAATTCCCGTCACACCGCATTAGAGGCGTTAAATCGCGACCCGTAAACATAGACACACGCGTTATTATTTAATGTAATTAAACTCACCTGATATGTTTCCGAAAGTACTTTCGCTACATCACGAACCGACGTGGCGATATGATTTGAAAAAACTCCATCTTGCAGTGCCGAATCCAAGACTGCCAAAGTCTCTTTGTCTTCCTGTAAGTTGCCTTGCAGTTGTTTAAGGCGATTTTCTAACGTTTGCCAGGTTTGAAGTAGAGAATTTAGCTGGTTTAGTCTTTCTGTTACACTGAAACAATATCCTTACATAAGAAACAGTATATTATGTTAATCGAAATTTACGTTTGCCATTTTACCAATCACAGCTTTGAGTAAAATCTCCCTGTGTCTTTGGCGCATTTTTAAAAAAAATACGCTATTATATTCATTATGGCTGGCTATGTACCTACGGCCTTACACTATGGTACGGCTCAGCAATTACAATAGCTAGAGACTTCAAATTTTCACTAAAAGCTTTCTGCGTAGTGTAGATGTGCAGGCTCTAGTCTATTTTGAGTTAGATTACTCATAGGATGGATAATTTTAAACTTCGCTAATAAAATACTGATTGATATTACCAAAAATGCGCTTTGCTGATTTGCAACTTGTTTAGGTACGAGTACCTACGTTGATGAAATGGACAGATAACACTATTCATACTTAAAGTACAGGCGAACTTTGTTATAAATATTTTCTTTAATAACAATTTATAGCAAGTGTTTTTTTTTGTGTTTATTTTGATGTTCCGTTTCGTTTACTATAATAATCCTAGTTGTGCATATTGATTTTCCGCGACGAATATGTGTATGCTTTAACAACGTGGGCAATTAAATGTCAAATATTATTGCCGATTTATGTGCCGGAGAAGCTGATTTAGCTACCAAATGCGCCGAATTAACTGTAGAAGGTGGTGAGTAGACTAGAAATGACAAATTAACCGAATTATGCATACAAGATGCTTCATCTCGCCGAAGAACAATTTACACAAGAGACTCTTCAGTCGAGTGCCTATTAATAAAGTTTGTTCTAAATGTGCACAACCAAGCATGATGGTGGGCAAATGATCTACAACTGCATTCACGGAAAAGGGCATAAACCTCTCCGCAGAAGAATAAGAAAATCTTAGTGGACCGTCTCCCTTGCCCTTTCAACTTATCATGTCCTGGAAAAAGTTACAAAGACGCCAATCGTTTAAAACGTCATTTAGGACAAAAACACGCTACACTCAGCCACTGATAAGCACTCTGCATCGCGTGATCTTTCGTTCCCGGATCCTCCAGACGGATCTCTGGACCGCTACTCACTAATCTAACACGAAGTTCAAAAGGGTGTATACTATATACTATAACCACCAAATAACCCAAAATCACACAAAAGGAAAGGGCCATTTTCAAAAAAAGGCGATAAAGATTGTGTGGAAAATTATAGGGAAATCAAGATCGAGATCAAGACGACGGCGTATAGAATCTAAGCAACGGTACTGAATAAAGGATTAGAAAGAGAAATGGAAAAGAAGATAGGCTATATGTATGGATTACAGATTGGTGGAAAAAGAATTGGAAAAAAGGGCGGAAAGGTGCGTTTTTTCATAGTTGGCATGGAAGATGGGAAAATAGACAAGAAGATAAAAGACAGAAGACACAGACATTGAGGGTAAGTATACAAGGGAAGGAGTATCCCACTTAGCAACCTCATTTAACCTCTATATGAGAGACATGGAAAAGGTATTAAGAGAGGGCCTAGGTGAAGGGATCGTAGTGGTAATAAGGAAGTCCTTGGCATACGCGGGCGACGCACGTAGTGATAATGGCAACAGAGATAGAAGAGACAAACGAAATAAATGGAAACGTTTTGGGAAAGAGCAGTTAAATTAGGGTACCAAATGCAAAGAAATAATGGGACAAGTGCGCAAGTATGAGAACTAAGGAAAACGGGGGTGGTAGGGATGAGACAAGTGTCTGGAATAGGGGGAGGGGTTTCAAGAATGACTTCAGAACTGTTCTATACGGAACGGAGATATGAGGGGTGAAAGGAATAGGAGGAACTGGAAGGAATACAAAGAAAGTATTATAAATGGGTATTAGGGCTAAACGGAAGGACAATACCAAATTATATACGAGGAAACCCAAAGGAAACGGGAATTTGGCGGTGGCTGGGAGAGAGTGACAACGCGCCCTCTCCATAAAGCAGTTTTTGACCAAAAAATGGCATGAGATTAATTAATTTATTTATTTAGTTGTTTAACCAGACACCATACATAATAAGAAAATTCCAATTACGTGGCACTGGAGCTCTGGAGAAGAAATCGACTGTCTACTCGCCGGACCTCGCCTCCTGTGATTTCTGTTGGTTCACCCGGCTCAAAAAGGACATGAGAGGAAAGCGTTTTGCCACTGAGGAGGAGGTAAAACAAAATCGCTATAGGAAGCGTAAAGAACATCCAGAAAAGTGAATTTAAAAAATGTTTTGAACAATGGAGGGAACGTGCGGAAGTCAATGGAAAATATTGTAAAGGTGATCAACATTAGGTGTAAAATTATTAAGCAATAAAGAAGTAATGATGAAATTCTTTTTTTGGGCCTCCTCGGATAGCTTCGCGACGCAGGGCGGTAAGGTTTGAGGAAAGGAGTGAAAGGGAAGAGCAAAGGAAATGGATATGCATGGGCTGAGCTCGAAAGTAGGAGACAAATAGGAGAAAGGGTGGAAGTAGTTGTTATAAAGGAACGAATAAGGGAGTGGTTAGCAAAATATTCATGGGAAGGAATAAAAAATATTAAAATAATGGTGAGATTCAGATAAAGGAATGAGGAGAGAGGGAAGAAGAAATGGAAACAAGAAGAAGAAAGAAAAAGTGAAGAGGAAGAAAACAGAACGCATGCTAGGCAATTGCTAGGCGGTGAGAGGACAATAAAAGCAGAAGTGGTGCGTGGGAAGAAGGGGGGAGGTGAGAAGTGGATACTGATCCAAATTAAACGACAAACGCCTTTTAGGTGTATTTTTTTGCCATTTTAGCGTCGAATGAAGTTGATTGTATACTTAAAAACAAAACGAAAAAAATCATAATTTGTCTACTTTTATCACGGAACAAATAGTCCTGGCAGGGTGTCCAGCGACCAGTGCCCACCTAAAATACTTTCAATGTCATACCACTTCTTTTTGTACTGTAAGTTGGCCCACCCTTTATCATTTTGAAACTGCTGATCTACAACACCCAATGAGAGAAACGTGTTAATAATTTGTTAAAATGCAAGAAACAAATACTGCCGTTTAATACAGTACATACTTATAAATTTGCAACGGGCCATAATGACCTACGGGCCAGGTAGCAAACCCCCCCTTGGGCCGGTCCACCCCTGACGACGCAGTGATAATAGCAACAGAGGTAGAACAAAGGAAGGAAACGTAGGGAAAGGAAAGGAATAGATAAATGTAGAAAACTCAAAGACGAGGAGATTTGGAAAAGGGAGAGGACGGAAAGAGAGATGGAATGGAAATGGAAGAAGCAAAGAAAGGAAAGAAGTAATAGAAATTAAATATTTAGGGTGCCAAATGCAATGAAATAATAGGACAAAATGTGCAAATAAGAGAACTAAGAAAAAGGAGTGGCAATGAGACAGATGTGGGGAATAGGAGAGGAGTTCAAAATAAGAAAATACCCAGTTGATACAATGGTGAGAGATGTGCTTATGCACAGAGCGGAGATATGGGGGTGTACACAAGGGGATGAACTGAAAAGAATAAATACAAAGAAGGTACCTATTATGAATGGGCATTAGAGCTAAACGGGACAACACTAAATTGTATGTTAGAGGAAACGAAAATGTCGAGACACAGGGCGGTAAGGTTCGAGGAAAAAAAGTGAAAGAGAAAGGGAATTAGTAAAAAAAATGCTTGGGAACGAACATGAACGCAAATCGAATGTGGGAAGAACAGAGGAAAAAATATACTATTATAGAGAAAGGGATATGCACGGACTGAGGCCAAAAGTTTGGAAAATGAGCTGGAAAAACGGACCTTGATGCACAAGCACAACACATAGAGTGAAGATAGAGAACGCACGAGGAAGTAGTAGTTGCAAGGAGCTAATACGGGAGTGGTTAGCAAAATAGTTATGGGAAGGAATAACAAAATTAAAATAATGGCGAGATGAGGGAATGAGGGAGATAACTCACAAACGGTTTCGAATTTTCCAATTCTGTTTTTAGCAATAGGTAGACAATGGTCAAGGGACTAATTGATTAAATGTTGGTCAATATTCGTCAACCGGAAGTGACTTGTTGTCTATATTGGTATTGGTGCAGTTTATTTCAATTAATCATCTGAGATCTAAACTTAACATAACATCAGAAAAAAAACTCCCCTTAAACGTTATAATGAATAGGTACACACTTCATAGGTTGATTCTAGTTCTTTTGTATACGAACACAGCAATCTATAGTGTATTAAGTAAAAGTATAAAGGACCCCCCCTTCTCTTTTTGGGCCCCCCATCAAATTCCCTCTAGCTACGTGCCTGGCAACCACGTAATCAGTAACATATTCTTACACCTGGTTTTGTGACAAACGTAATTTTCGGATAATGACAATTAGCAATTAGTAAAAAGCGACACTTACCTGCTGTGAATGTCGTACCATACGCGGTATAAGTCCGAAATATCACCCTTGAGAGCCGTGGAATTGTAATTTTTGTTTTCGAACACAAAGCGATGCACAGCGACGTTGAGTGTTAATAATTTCGCCTTTTGTTCGTCCATGCTTAGTAATTTGTTCTGTAACAAACACGATTTGATAATGAAATTACCGTTATGAGTATGTGTACATTAAAACGCGATACTTTAACGTTGTAATTTGAGCAGAAATACAATCTGAAATTGCGTGAGTATTAAATTTATTAAACTATTTTCAAATTCATCGACATCCCCTTTTTGAAAAGGGCGTGTGTAACTTGACCCAAACATAAACTAATTTATACCGTGCGGGTTTTATAATCGCCGAAGGGAAAAGCGTTTTGGCAATTCATTTTAATATTTCCCAAGACCCTAATCGTAGTGTGAACTTTAAATAACAGATATCCTGACCACACGTAATGCGGATTTTAGGCATTATAACGTTTCGATTAAAAAAATCTTTTCGTGACGGAAGCGCATAGTATAAGATGCGGCTAATTAAAATTGTATATAGGGTAACGAATATAACATAAAAAAAGAAAAAAGGCGCTGGAAGCGTAAACATAAACTTGAGTAATTTATACACGCTCTGCCATCAATGTCAGGCAGCAAGAATATATGGTTCGCTGTACTTCTCCCAGTAGATAGAAGACTTTTCGCAACTCTACGATCAGTCTCAAGGGACTGTCAGTGGACATTCTCTAATGCACAAAATATGTGAACGGACCTTTACGGAAAATTATCCCCTAAAAAAATTTAAACACTCCAGTATTTGCATCGAATATTACCGTAATCGCGTGACAAACTGTACCAAGTTCGAATCAATTGATTGGCCGTTGATTGCAAATTGAATTACGTTGGAATGCACGTCTGTAGCGGGTTATCAGTAGCATACAAATGTGTGTTAGGGACAAACCCGCCCCACGTCGATTTATTCTACATCCTGTGTAAATTTTCTATAAACGCTCGAATGTACAATTAGAATAATTAAATGCCTTTCTAAATCAAGTGTGCAACGAGAAGAACCGAATTTACGACAGCGCAGGAGGGAATACCGAAAAAAATTTAAGTACACCCCAGAAACAGTAACGACTAGAAAAAGTTTTCCAGCTAAAGGATCCTGAAGTACGCGGTCATATGATGATGTGCGATCGATATCGACTGTCACAAAGCAGCAGCATTTGTACCCTGTTCCGGGCACCTTCAGATTAAGACTTGGACGTGGTTGTGAGTAAGGCGTGATGGAGACTCCTATTGAGAATCCCGTCACGTACCCGGCCGTAGCAGCAGCGCGACACGGGTACGCTTTTATCGTCATTTCAAACTCTGAAAATATCACACACCGCTAGTTTTTAGGTCGCATACAGTTAAATTTAAGAATCCATGAGCAATGCACTGGATTAAGGGCGCTTTGTTATTCACCCCAACAACGTACATAGAAATAGCCCCCCCCCCTCAATTTTCCAAATAAATTTTTCATAACTACAGCTAATTCAAAGAAGTATAGTGGACGAAAAACCACGTATAAGTATATCTCAAGATCAAGACCTACAGCGCAATCTGTTGTAAAGTACGAGATAGACATCATTGATAACTACCCTGTAACCACCCACACAAATGTGCTGTAAGCATGCTATAAGAACCGTTTACAGGTTTCAGTAACAACTTACAGAATACTGTAATACCAACACTCTAGAACGACATCTATGGGAAACGTGAACTTCGACAAATCAATATTCTTTCAAGCTCATACAAATTTTCTTTTGGCCTAGTTACTTTTCAAGAAAAGGCGATCTGACTAATCTCCAAAATGAGAGAAAGTACGTCTGATTCCGAATGTTTAAGCACATTTTCCCATCTGAAAAGGTAAAGAAAACTCTTTTTCAAGTGTAATTGATGATATAAGCACAAACTTTCTTAAACTCCACGCTGAATCACCGTAAATTATGTGCATTTTTGTAATAAATATACAGGAAAATACCCCCAATCCACTACGATTTGTCACTAATCGAAGAAATCTATGCTAGTTCGCCGATTAGGAAAAATTTACGCTTCCATGACTATTCCGTTAAAGAAGAGCGTTAGAACTTGATAAAAACTTCCAGTATATTAATGTTAGGAAAAATTGAGAAGAATCTGATAGGAAATTGACAATTGAAACCTGAATGTCAGACGGAAGCTCAAAAAAAAAGCTGAAGAACTTGAGTGCGGTCGATTCAGAAAAGCTTAAGGGAAATATGAACGAAGTTTAAGGAGAATTTTAGAGGAATCTTATCATGTTAACAAACATAAGAAATTGAAACCTTTTTTTCTTGAATGTTCGCAATTTTCTTTATAAGCTAGATGTAGAATTTCACCCCTCGGACGGTCGCTAATTGACTGCCAATTTTTTCGGTAGTGTTAGAGAGTTTTAACAGGAATGATAATTACAAACTGTTTTCGTGTTAACCTTTTTTTTTGTACGCTAGGTGTGGATTCACCCTCTTCGGCTGTTGATAAATGAATGCTAATTTTTTCAGTGGTATAAAGATGAACCTTAACGCTTAAAACAAACACAGGAATTAAGAATCATTTTTTCGTCTTACACTTTCAATACTTCATGAGATACGGTCCTCCAAAGAACGACCATCAAGGGCCATTTTAAGGTTTCCACATATAGCTGGGGGCCACATGATAAAAAACAATAACACGAAAAAATACAGCCCTTTTTTATGTCTAAGAATATGGGTACCAAATTTGGTTCCCGGAAATGAGAGTACAGACAGACTGACATCGAAATTTTGTTTGATTCGGATTCCTGGTACCTCAAAACGTGTATTTCCGTAAAAAAGTGGGGGGTCATTTTTTACCCCGATGCAACACCTCCCTTACTAACGTACGGGTAGTTAGAAGGTAAAACTGCCAATTTTAGATATTTTTACGTAGAATCTAGTAGTGACGTAGTAACAAACAATGGTCGACCACCGGTTCTGAGATTTGACCCAAACTTGGATGGTTTTTTTCTCGTCATTTTACAAAAAAAAAAAATTATATCACACCATTTTTATAGAGGGCTTTTCAAGGAATAATTTTTCAATTTTCATTTGTCAAGATTTTACAAATACTATTATCCAAAATAGTTCGTAAACATTGTTCATTAACCAGTTTATGCTACTGCTCGGTCAAGTAAAGTGTTACTCATTTCGCTTTCACAGTTCTGATTTTATTTTCGCCTAAGTGCATTTTCAAATAAAACAATCAATCTTGATAGAATAATACAAAAAGTAGAAAAGTCTAAATGCTTATTAAAAAATTCGGAATAGTCCTCACTGAACTCAAAACCGTGTTCACATAACCCAAAATCTTTTCCAAAAAATTCAAAATAGTTTTCACAGTGACATGCACAATTAAATACGTCTGCACGTGGCGAAATATGGACAAAATGCAACAATAGTAGGCAAATGTTCTTTTAGCCCCACACGGTTACGTATGATTTTTTTATACCTGTACAGTATACTCGTAAATGTACATTATGATTTGAAATTATTTGTTATTAATTGAATACAATTGAAAAACTTTGCAATGAAAATTATTCCTTGAAAATCCTTCTATAAAATTTTTTCTAAAATGAGATAACGACCAATTGAAATTTTTTTACAATTTTCGTTTATAACTTTGTAATTTTTGGTTCTACGACTAAAAGTTACTGGACGAAATTTTATTTTTATAAAAAATGTTTAAATAATCAAATCAAATCAAATAATTCGACAATTAGCTATATACTGTGAGTGTGACTAAAAATTATTGCACATTGAGCCATTCCTTTTAGTACATAACTACATGTACATGTTAGCGGTTAAGAGTACGTTCGTCTTTATGGCATTAACAATTTTACTATAACACCATTATAACATATTTATTTATCGACTGTAAAATTATAATAAATCATTTGGTACTTGAATAAAATTATACAGTAAGAATTTTTAGTAAGTAAACAGTTCAAACAAATCAAGTCATCTGTCATAGCCAACCAAAGATATGGAAGAAACACTTGAAGTCATCAAAGCAACATAACGAAAGTAATGCTCAAAAATTATTCACTGCTCTTTACACATTTTATAGTTTTCTTGCACCCCAAATGGAGATGCAAAGAAAATTGTCATCTGGGCGGTTTTAAATATCTAAATAACGAATCCGAAATTGGTTTATGAAAATTCTGTCAAAGTTTAAGGAATTGTGCTTTGTTAAAAGAACAAGTAATACAGTAAATTCCTCTTGCGATAGCAATTCAAAAGCACAGGTGGATAACAAATTAGTACTTCGAGGTCTAATAATTATCGTCTAGGTCTCTAGGATACGAACTATGGTATGATATAACGAAAATTATTTACGTACTTATTGAAAAAACTGGGCACATTTCCAAGGTCTATATGTTGAAATAGCTAATGTTCAATGATGAGTTCTCGCCATATATAAAAAAATTAATAATACAAAACTTACCGAATAAATCTCAACGTCCTTGCGAATATCCTCAATTGAGTTTACAGTTAAGGATTCTAAACGCACCGGTATCTTCTCATTTGTAAGTTCATTTTTCAAAGTCAATATTTCCTTTTGCAAACTTCTGTACTCTTGCATCTTGTTCAACTTCTCCCTCAACCGCTTCCACTGTGATAGTAAATCTGAAAATAAAAACCGCGTTAAAAGCCTAATAATAACAAGACGTAATGGCCAGATTTCTCGCTTATACAACCGGTTTCTCAAATATATACATATGGAGATCTCTATTAATTCCACACATTACAGTAGCCTCATTAATTCGCATAAGTACAACAAAGACTAAGTATGTACTAGAATTTTGATTCTCAAATGCGCGCGAGTAGGCAAACTGACCGCACTGCACCTATTTGTAAAAGGACTAGGTCAATGCAATTAAAAAGGCAGACAATTACATTAATTGTACCTACGCTTAACTAAAATGAACATCTTTTAGTTATAACCCGATTTTAGCGCAGTAGAAACTGGTTACTGGTTAGGATAGGCATCCTATGCACAGGAAACTACATAAAAATTAGAAAATCGACACAAAAAAGGAAGTTAGGTACTTACAGCACCGGGTTTAATTGGTTCCAATTGAAGGCGTTGCGTTTTGGTACCGGAATTCGTGGAGTTTCCGTTTTTTAACAGTTTATGGATATAACTAAGCAGCCTATTTCTACTATTATTACTATAAACAATGTAATTGTGTTACACTTGCAGTTGTAGTAGAGTATAACCGTTTAAGGTCGTTAGTGGGAGCAATAAACAGCTGCTCGTAGATTAGCTAAACCGAAAGTAAAAGTTGGAGGTACTAGACAAATCATTGGTTTCTACACATTATTGGGGTTGGTATTTTTTTGGACAAACGTCAATGAACAGTCAGGTATAGTGGGTCTACCTTCGCTTCAGGCGTATGGACTGAAATAACAAATAACATTTCTGAACGGAGTCTAGATTGCGAAATAAAACAGAAAAGACGAAAATGATCGCATCCATTATTTTATAGTCATGCACGTCCTCCCTTCAAGGTTTATATTTTATAATTATTGCATTTGGGGAAATTATAATTTCAGCACAGCGAACTATACGACAATGCGTTTCTGGGGTGCTAAAGAATGCGCAAAAGTGATTTTCGTTTAAATATATGGGAATAAAGTATACCAAACAAATTATGGCACGAAAAAAATCCCGGTGTTACCGCATAATTTTATACGTTACTCCACTTTTTATAAATTACTCCATTTATTTAGGTGCATGGTGCATATGGAAGAGCAGTTTTTGCTGAATTTGTACCTGGGATTCCATGAATTGTTGGAATAAATATTTATGAAAGGAAAATATTTAGAGGAAAGCAAAGATTACAAAATCTGGTTAACTAACGAAAGAATATCACACGACGTAAAATTTATGGAAGAATCCGAATTAAAAATGAGAAATGCAATTGAATTCAATTTGTATAACTTTCCTAATTCCTAATTTAAGATCCGAGATAAATATATGAATTAGGAAAAAGCTGCTAAAAACGTACATATGGAGTGTAGTTCTATAGGGTGCGAAACCTGGACGATAGGCGGGAAGACAAAAATAGGATAGAAGCATTCAAAATGTGGTAGAAGGATAATGAGGATTAGCTGGATGGACAGAGTAACAAACGAAGCAGTCTTGGAGCTAGTACAGGAAAATAGATACATGTGGAAAACCGTACAGAGAAGACGAGATAGAATGATAGGGCACGTGCTCAAACACGGAGGATTAGTGCAGCTAGCTATAAAAGGTATGGCAGAAGGCTAGAGAGGGGTAGGACGACAGAGGCTTAGATACATAGACCAAATAGTTCGGGACCTAGGCAAGGGTAGTTATGTAGAAGTGAGAAGATTAACGCAAGATAAGAAAGGGTGGAGGACTGCGTCCAATCAATCCTAGGATTGCGGACTCCAGAAAGAAGATCCGAAGCGGCACATTTTCATAACTGCAAAATTTGACATGAATTAGGAATTCAACCACCGTGTATCAATTGCTCAAACAATATTAGGTAAGGAAAATGATAAATGCTTTATAATTTCCCGAAACGTCTAAATTGAAAAACGATTCAGTTTAGTTCTATGGTTACTTATGTATCAAATGTGGTCCACATTTTGCACAGATTAAAAAAATGAATAAAAACCGACGCATCCCATTTGAAATAACGAAGAGTTAGTTAAGTGCGACAATAACAGAAGATCGTATAAAATTGAAAATACTTTGGCTGAAAACTGCTCATTGCCGAAATTTTCAAAAACTTAATTAATTTATTCAGTCGTCATTGGATACCTCACATTAATTGTACCTAATCAATAAATAGGTAACGTATCTTTTATTAATTCTATTTGCACACTTAACGATTCTACAGCTTTGGAAGAATTTTAGAAAACATAGTACCAGTCCAAAGAATGAGAACCAACTTCTCACAGAACCTTATTTTCTCTCAATTTCTGCTGCTACATAGTTGCAATTGCATACCCATAATAATTCCATAATTCTCGATATTTCAATTTTCGGCCGAGATTCTACGTGCAACTAGACTAGTTCAGTAGTACTTTTATAGCTCTAAAAAATCCGATACGCAGTCATTACTTTTACATTTTTTAATTCATCTGCATATAGTTGCTCGAGGTTTAAGGAATATTTAGTAGCACAGACATTCATATGCTCTTTGTAGGAACAATTATAAAAGAAACCCTTTTTTGGAGGTTTATCACGAAAAGGTAGTTCCTCCTCTTTACACAGAATGAGAGAGAAGTGCATTTGATGAATTTCCCGACTGATTCACAATTTAAAACCCCCATTACTTTAGAACCCTTCCGTATTTTACCATGAAATTTGAAACGAGACAATTCTTTAATTTTTTACTTCATATGTCCAATTCGTAACTTGCATAATTTCGAATTATTTTTTTAATGGAATTATGTTTCATGTGATTTTGAAGCTCTTTATATGCTTAATTCAACCTTCGAGTTTGAAAACATTTGATTCATTTATTTTCAAAATACTGTTTCGCTATTCCATTAAAAAAAAATTTGAAATTATGCCAAGTTGTCATTTTGTCAACTGAAAAAATAATGAACCGTTTCGTATAGCACCAATTCAAATTTCATGCTAATATACCGAACGATTCCGGGAAATTACACGCTAAAAGATGCAGAAATAAAAGGCTTGTGGTTCCCCCAACCCTAGTGTTGCAACAGGGAGACCAAGAAGGAAATAGGAAAGAAGTGCTAAAAGGAGCTCAAAGACAGTAATTGGGCTAGTGTAAAATTTCAGTACAAATACAATCATGGAATTGAAAAAGCTTTTAATGGGAAAGTGTTAAAAGTTTTGGAAGGCTTCTGAGATATTTACCTTCCCTGATGTTTCAGATGGATTTCGAAAACAAACTCCTACACAAGTGAGAAGGAGAAGACATAAGTTTATGTGGCAAATTTTTTTTTGTTTTAATAATAAATTATAAGAGAGTTTGATTATTTTGTTATTTATCCGTAAGACTGCTTTATTATTTTATTTACCCTCGTAATCCCCTCTCATTCGTATTCTGTCCCTATACACTCCATGGAAAAAGGTTGAATAGGGATTTGTGTGGAATTATAACAAGGTTATAGCGTTGAATGAAAACCTTTGTTTTTCATTCAACGGTTACAGTGAATAAGTAAGTTCCAAAATACAACAACAATCCTATTTTACGGTACTTAATAAATAAAAAATTTCCATTTAGTTATACTGTAAAAGTCTAAAAAAATTAAACCAGATCTAATTATCGCAATCCGTCTTAATTTTAAACTTAACAAAGCACTCACCTATAGCCCATTCTTCGACACGGTTACTCACAAAATGAATTTTCTCTAACAAGAATAGTATACACGGTTATACTATCAATGATTCATAGGGTTTGAAAATGTTATTTGCTAAATTATTGTATAATCAACGATACATGAAACGATGTATAAACTTTCCAAATTTTGACACTGTTGGCATAAATATCGTGCGTAGTAGTGACGACAACGGCCATAGCGCCAAACAGGTTTTGCTATAGCGTAATCGAAAGACCTTTAAATAAAGAATTCAAAAAACCTAACCCCGTCCGTATCAGACGCGCACACGTAGTCAAGGGCGGACTTAGGTGTCCACATGCCCGCCCCAAATAAATTGTGTCCCCCTGCGTAAGGAAATTATGCATATTGCATGCATATATAGCAATAATTTTTTGTATATTATACAACTACCTAGTTTTTGTGGTCCAGAGATTATATTATGTTAGATCAGATTCAGGCGTTGAAATGATAAGCGAATCGAACACTAGTGTACGCATTTTTGGTATTTAATTCTGCTTTTGGCAGGTTTTTCCGATTCTCTTTCAGGATATCTATCTGCTTGTACAATCATTTTAAAATATATGGTGACCCAGTTAGATTACTGACCCAGTGACCCGGTGACCCGGTGACCCAGTTGACCCGGTGACCCAGCTTGACCAGGTGACCCAGCTTGACCCAGTTTGACCCGGTGACCCAGCTTGACCCGGTGACCCAGCTTGACCCGGTGACCCATCTTGACCCAGCTTTACTTAGTGACCCATCTTGACCCGGTGACCCAGTAATTAAATTCTTGTTAGGTATCATCCAAAACAATTTCAAGTAACTTTTAATTTAAAAAAAAACTTCCTCAATAATATTCGCCAACAAGCACGTAGCCCAATTTCATTCAAGAGAACTAATACTTAAAAAAATCAAATGCATTTGTTTATAGTTTGTAGTCAAGTAGTCAATGAAAGTATTTAGAGAAAAGATTTATTTGGATTAAGCTAACTAGTAGAAAAAAATTAAATGTGAATGAATACCTGTAAGCAAACTGGTAAGCCCTGAAGCAAAGAAATGAAGGAGGGAACTGTTTAGAAATAACATTACTACAATTCGGGACATGGAAAGTTTTTTACGGCAGGATTAAAGCAAACATCACAGAAATGGCAGTTGTCAAGCAATCCAGTATTATTTTCAACAAACCAGCATTTCATTTATTTCATAATCTGTACACTTGAACCGAGGGCAGACTTAATTGCGTTGTTCGATCAAACTAGGTTACTGGGTCCCCGGGTGAAATTGGGTCGCTGGGTCAAACTGGGTCAAGTTGGGTCACTGGGTCAAACTGGGTCACTGGGCCAAACTGGGTCATTGGGTCAAACTGGGTCACTGGGTCTAACTGAAAAGAGTATGACGTGACCCAGCGACCCAGTGACCCAGTTTAATTCAGTGACCCAGTTGACCCGGTGACCCAGTGACCCAGTCCAACTCTGATTCGTGTTTCGTGACTACACAACCACGACAAGAATGTTTTGTGCATCCTTTAAAACATCAAATTCTGGAACATTTTTTAAGTTAAAATATAAAGCATGAAACTATTTTCTGTATATTTTTCGTGAATAAGTAATTTTATATTTTGGTTTCCAAAGTGAAGTTTAAAAACTCTCAAACTTTAAGTTTGAACTTTCATATCAGAATCGCAATTCGAGAATGTAGTTTGTTTGTGTCTAGATTTGGAAATTTTGGCTATCAAGGTTTCATCTTAAAAATTTCAGGTTCTCAAAATTATTTCATGTGCAATAGAAATCTGTGAAAGCTTAAATTATTTTCGACAGTTTTAATTTTATTTCGGAATTGAAAATATATTTTTTGTTCACTTTCCACTCTCGAATTTTACATTTTCGCTGTTACGGAGATACGTCTTTTCATGATCCCTTCTTTAAATTATTTCATGTGCATTCGTCGCAATCCAAATTTAAAAATCCAGGGTTTCAAGTGGAAATTTAATAAACTAATAAAATATCTCAATGTTAAACTTAAACATTTCATTTCGGAATTGTGATTTATACTTTTGATATGCATCATCAATCAAAAAATTATGAAACTTTTAAACTCAGGTTGAAAATATAAAACTACGTTATTCAAAATTGTCAAACTTTGATATTTAGCTTCAAATTGAAACGGTCGTTTGCATACCAGATTCTTCTTCATTTTTCAAAAATTATAATTAATAGTTGCAAATTGAATTGCAGTTACCAGGGTGTTTCTAATTTCGTTTGAAATTTACTTTTATCACTGCAACTTGATTTTTTTACTCACCCTTCAATCTCCAAATTTTGAACCGATTGATTTTCAAATTGAAAATAAACTTGCATCAATGTTCTTCGATAATAGTATATTAAGATACATAGCGATCAAAAATGAGTGACCGTCGAGTCACCTTTGGAATTTTTGTTTACATGGGAAATCGTACTTAACTCGAACTTCCAAAGGCGACTCGAAAGTCACTCATTTTTGATCGCCCGATACAAATGTACATAGCGATCAAAAATGAGTGACCGATATAATCAAGTATTTAAAGCACGCGCAACGAGTTTAAGGGCACGACGCAAAGCGGAGTGCCTTTAACGTTGCAAGTGCTTTAAAGACCAATTATACACCTGTATCTTATAGTATTTTTTATTATACCTGCAGTATAATTTAAAAATAGGAAATACAATGAAGTCATATTGACGTTATACTCGAATACATGTCTAATTAAGTGGGCTGGGTGTTCGTAATTTCACGATTGCTATGGAAATGTCACTTGACGTTTGCTTATAAAAATCATCGTCTTTGTGAATTAAACGATTTCCGTTGAAAAAGACCGTCCATTAAATCGATTGTTGTAAAATCTAAACAAACGTTGGAAGGTGTAAAATCCAATTCCAGTAAAGCCTATTATAAGGAATATGAAAAGTTGTTTCCATGGATGAATAGGAAGTTACTTACGAATACAGTCTTAAATGCATCCATAATGCTGGCATATATGAAGCAATTGTCAAAGGTATTTAAATCTTCTATATTTTGGTGCATTCATTCAAAACTTTAAAGCAATGCTGCGATTAAAAAGTGGAACAGATTTGGAAGCATACCCAAAATTACGCGCGTTTGTGAAAGCTTCAACCAAAGGATAGGTACAAAAGCCAAAGAAATGTTCTGCATTTACAGAAAGCGACCTAAGAGGATTTTTTATTTCATCCAGATGACAATTTCAAAAGTCATACTTGAAGTATCGTTACTTAGCAACTTTAAAGCACGTGTGTTTTAAAGGCCCTTTTTCGCACGCATTTGAGTGTTTAAAACGGAGATTGTGATTCAGGTATAATAAAAAATCATTTTTTTTAACCTTTCCACTCTCAAGTATCAAAATTTTGATCTTCAGGAAAGTTTTTCTAACACAGTATTCATACGGAACTTTTAAAAGTTAAGACAGCAATCTAAAATAACTTATTTCTTCCGTCATGCGATACGACGTCAAAGAAAATTTTGGTACAAAAGAGGAATTTCTCATGTGATTCAAAATATTCCTAGTATTTCAGAATGTATTTTAACAAAATTGTAAAAGTTGTTGAGCAGTTAAAAAAGAAAAGAAAGATGGCATAAACTTACTGAATAAGTTTCACGCATTATTTCCAACGACGAGCTGAGTCGATTACTCGGTTTATTATACGGTAAACTAATGTAAATGGATTTATAAAAAGTTACCTCCACCAGGCGTGTTTCAGTTAATATACCACAAGAAACAAAAACAAAACGCGAAGTTCACCACAAAAAATTTCTTTTTCACTTAACCCAAAAAAAATAAACTCTAAATCAACAAGAAAAAGAAGATTTGACTATGCAAAAATGCGCCGGCTGCATTTTTCATGAAAAATATGCTACTAAAGCGAAAAACAGTTACCGCCAGCGCTACCTTGTTTTTGAAAACAAGATGAAAATTGTACGCACATGCCCCGAATAGGATATCATATTTTTCATACTTAGATTAGCATCTTCTACAGCAAATCAGAAAAAAACCAACTTTTTAAGTCCCACCCATCAAACTGCTTTCCCGTTTCTCCGACTGCAGTGGTGAATAAATGAAGGTTTCGTTTTCGTCTTTTAAAGTGCAAATGATTTTGAAATATTTTGGCCCATGCTAAGTGATTTTTGATTTAACCAATTGTAGTGTCAGTAAGGAGCTATGCGAATTTCTACCTGGTTTTTGTAACCATAGCTAGAGGAACTTACCGGCACTGAGTCCCTTGTCAATTTTTGATAAGGAATATTCCTCTGGAGATTTTTCTATTAAATGAAGGCAATATATGTGGCGATCGCAAGTTGCTATTATATCGGTCTGAAACAAAAACGTGCATTAATTAAAAAAAAACAATAACACCGATTATAAAAATACATTAACATATGTCCAGCTTGAGTAGAAGAAGGAGAGCAAATACCGGACAAACGTACAGACTTATGTGGTCTTCGAGACTGAGTTTCTTTAAAATTAGGTTTGGACGCAATGCGTTGTTTTCTCCCGTTGAAATTAGTACAAATAAGGATTTTAACAAACTAAACTCATTCGGTTAAACCGTTTCGGAGGAGAAAAGTGAACACTGGGCGGACATACAAAAAAACAGAAGTACCCAGAAACCAAGAAGTATTTAAGATTTTTCCATTTTCCGCATTTGATCATAGTTGCAACTACAAACGCCTTTTAAAAGGATATTAGATTGAAATTTTCATTTCAGGAAACATGATAAATGGCAATAAAAAGTAATCCATCATATATACTTTATCACTGCAATCCTAGAAATGGAGTCTCCAGACTCGCAAATGGTTCATATTTTGAATTGCATAATATGTCGTTTGAAGTCTGTCCACAGGTCACTGTAACAAAGAAAATCCATGACTAATTCCTTGTTAAGACATATTAAAGGGAGCACGTCTTTCCCATCCTTGCCATCTGCCGTGTTACAGATAATTTTTCAGGCGACCAAATCAGCTAGTTCTCCTGTATACAGTGTATCAGCGACAACTCCTTTGGTGCTTCTAATAGATTTTCTTGTTCTTTACGTCGCCATTATTAACTTTTCAACCTCCAAAAGAATGCGCCATAAAATTCCAGGGAGTGGTACATTCCTTCATTTTTTATTGAGCTGTCTTTTAAATTATTGGACCTGCGGGAGCCGCGGGGAATTTGGGTCTGGGTGTAGTAGCAGTACTGTAAAATTTCTATGCGTGTGCGTCGATAAAGTATGCAGACTCCACTTGCTCCCACCGCCGATTGCGAAAAATAAATATCCGACTGAAGTTCATCGCGAGTATATGGTCTACAAGAATCAACACCATATCAACCAGTTCTGCTTGTGTTTAGAACATTTTCGCAACGCTGATTAAAAAACATCATACACTGCCGACACTTGACTGTTAATTGTGATAATTGAATATCTTTTGTTTGATTATGGCAGACTTGGGGTCGGAAAATAAGGTTTTTTTAGAAATTGGCGTTTTGACTTGGTTTTTCTCTAAAATTTTCTTATGGAATGTGTGATTTTGTTTATATCAGTGAAAAATTTGTAGGTTTGGCTACTCAGAGGTATAATTTGTTTAGGAGGGTGCCATTTGAAATTTTTAAAATATGACATTTAGCGAAGGTCAATCAAGAATTGTATTTTTTCGTTAAAGTACTTAAACAAAATTATCTGATTGTGGAAGAGGTCTTAACCTGTGCCTCAGTCCAAAAATTAGCCGCGCCTGCGCGATTTAGTTTCTCAAAAAAATTTCGAAAAACTGTCGAATTTTGACGAAAAAAGGTTATAATAACAGCGAAACCGTTAAAGTTAGGGGTATAACATGTGTACAATTTCGTTCTAAAACTCATCTCGGTATCTTTTATGGTAAAGGAGTTATGATCCGAGATATCTTAGGTGCTACACCCTGTACATATAAATTCAAGGTAATTGTGAGTGGAACCGAATATTCTCATTTCCGCCACCTTCATATCCTAACCTTTCTTTAAGGGAGCCAGGACCTCTATGGTTTTTTGTCTTTGCAAACCAGATGCACCTCCATTTTTCAGTAGTTTCCTTGTTTGCCTCGAACTCACGAAGTCTTTAGTCAAATCAAACTTTTCACGTCTTCCATTAAGAAATCAATTTCCATATTCAATAAGAAAGGCTCTTATATCGATCTCTGTTGTAGATCAACGATTACTGGAAAGCTCCTTCCACTTCATTCAAAAGTAATACCTACTTACAATGGGGCTTTCAGTTTTACCACAGGGCCATTCCCTGTCGCCACATACTGTGGACATCCTACCCCACCACTGCACATCGTGGTTACACTTTATCCCCTTTATTGTGATCGACTGCATGAATTCTTTCCAAATTAACAGTGATGCGAATGCACTATATTAAACTTGATCTCAGAAAAGTGGGATATAATTCTAAGGTCCAGTCATACAATGGCAGTTTAAACTTCAGTTTTAAATTTTGGGTTAAAGGATTTGACTGGCTAATATTTCACAAGTTGACCAATCGTGTTTCTGGAATCTGTCAGTTAAACTAATCTGAAATTTAAACTGACATTGTACAACTGGGCCTAAATCTTGAAAGATATTACAATTGGTGGCTTGTGGAAAAAAAATGATGCGAATTATGATTTTCAAGCTAATTCCGGCTGAACTTGAAAATAAATTGAAGGTCTTTATCGGAAAGCATAGCAGAAAAAAGGAATTAAGAATAAACTAAACGGTTTTCCAATCATGTAAACGTAAACATTTCCTCAACGATCGTACCTCGAGATTCTAAATTGCTAAAGGCGGTTACGAAACAAATTCTGAATTCAACGAAATTTGGTTTCTTTCAGAAAAACCGAAAGGAAATACTCAAAACCTTAGAGAAACCATTAGTTCCATCCTCCTGTGTTTATGGTTGAGGAGATAAAATTAATAAAGAAACTGAGATTTTTTCGGGCCGGTCCGATCAGATTCGAATCCTCACTAAACTTACTATGAAGTCACTACTTTCAGCTTTGTATTGCATTTTTGTGTTTCGCTTTCCAATTGATAAGTTTTAATAAGTATTGTATTATGTAATAATGGAACAAGAGTGTCGATCACTGGTTGAATGACTGAAACCCACTGTTTTCGGTACGGAGCGATCAAAATCTTACTAGTAGTGAAAGTTGACGAAATTAATAGAATAAGAAAAGTGGCACAAGCGATGAGTTGTATAAATAAGTAGTAAAACGTACATCATTAGTTATTATGTATTCCTGCAGATTCGACGAGAAGGTTTGATTGTAAATGTTAATCATTTGTAGCAACCCGTCGCGTGACTGTTGCAATAAAGTTCGAACATCATCGCTATCACTTTCGGAATCCAAAACTTGAAACGGCGCTAAACTTTTCCGTTTGAAGGGTGGCGAAAATTCGGGATTCGTGGATCTCGTCGACCAATCGGACTGGCTATCCAAGAAGTTGCGGTAATCTTCTCCAAACTCCAGCAGACGTCGCGCGGCGTCCGAATCTTGGGCCTCACTGTACGCTTCGGAGAGGTATTTTTCCTGAAATAAAGAGCAAAATTAATGTGTGCAAGTGGAAGTACGGCTAGTAATTAGAATTGTGGTTACAGGACCTTGTGAGAAAATTACAATCGCGCACATTATTCGCGAGATTATTTATTAGAATTGCCGTCACGCACGTGAAAATGGATGTGCAAAAAGATAAGGTGATTAGTTACGGCGAGTAAACTGAAGATATGGGCAAAAAAGGAGCACAAGTAAAAGAGGAAGAACAAACATTGCAATTTTCTGTCGAGAGACGTTACCAAATACTTTTTGTGGGGAAAAATTCAATTCCCCAAAATCTTTAACGTGAAAACTTTCTATTTGGTAAATGCATTTTTAATGAAACATATTGCAAAAACTGATCGAAATAGCTCATATAGCGCAATTTTTTATTTCGAAAGTGTAATCTAATGGCTTAAAATTACGCAAAAAACAAAGTCTACATTGAGAAAAATTAAGTTGCTCACCACCCATTTTAAAATGAAAAAGGTCATGGTCATTTCACAGGGATTAAGCCGAGTAGGCATAAAAGAGGCCTTGCATTGTTGAGATCGTAACCAGCTGGTTCAGAGACAAAACAAACATAGTACCTTGGCATAATATTGCACCGTTATCAAGTAAGGTGTGGGTGCCAAAGCATTGTAAAAGTAATGCTAGTTATAAATTAAAAATTTCGGAATCGGATAATTATGATTTTCATGCTTATTTTTATATGGAACTACAATATGTTTTGGAACACTAAATTTTCAGGAATTGTTGTCTGTTACCAAATTATAATAACTTTCATATATCCAAAACGCCAAAATTATCACTAAAGTTTATTAAAGAAACCCTAGAATGCACTCTCTCTCTTAAATGCCCATTTCTTAAAGAATAGAAATGATCTATAGAATAACATTCTAGGAGATACACGAAAGTGAGTGGAGATTCTGATCTCATAGGTCACTTTTACAAACTCTTAAAAACACTAAAATCCTTGTAAGAGATTAATAAACACCTTAAAAAGCTCACAATGATTTCTTTATATTTTCCCCACTTCGTATCGTCATAATTATCCAGATTAAGAAAAAGTTTTAAAAGTTAGAAAGTACAAGTGATGTGACACAAGATATATGGGATATAACGAGAAAGTATAGGGAGGAAACAAAGACAAGTCCCTCATATGCGGAAGCGGCAACGAGTAATGGTGACACCTGCTGTTCCGATGAAGAGATTATGGGCATTCCAAGAGGGAGTCAGACGTGCCCACATTTGTATATGGGAAAGAAAAGGGAATAGCAGATACGAAATGATAAATACAGCCAGAAAGAAAGTGAAATAGAGGCACAAACGGCGACAGATTCTCCATTGGGAAACGTTACTTATGTTCTAATAAATAAATAGAACTGCAGTAACATTTTATTGATTATTTTTTCTATGGCGATCGATTTCGGTTACAAAACCATCTTCAGGTCAAACTATAAATATATTAGGTATAATGGACATTGTTGACATAGACAAGTGATAAATATATCAGGTATAGGCCTGAAGATGGTTTTTTAACCGAAATCGATCGCCATAAAAAAAATAATCAATAAAACTTGACTACAATTCTATTTATCTATTACAATCAAGTGCATATTGAGCAAAGGCTCCCAATTCGTTTTAAAGAGCGCATGACGAACTTGAAATACAATCGTTGAAATAGAACCACATATGCTTCAAAGTAACCACTTAGTAGCCAACACTTCTTTAGTTAAGCAAGTAGATAGGAAAAATGAATTCGAGTTTAGAGTCTGAAAGTTTTGAACTTCTCAAAATAAATACTGCCTAACGAATAATGAGGGATTTAGGGCAATAAGGCCAATTAGACTTCCTCTTATAATTATACATAGAATAAGATTGTACTTTTTCTTCAATTGTTTGGTGATGATTACAGCTTTCCTGTCTACACGCCTACGTTTGGTTGTATTTTATTGTGGATCTTGTCAGTATCCCTGCTTCAACTGTCACAAGAGTTCCAGTCTCTCAAACTAATTTGTCAAAATTTAATTTGCTTTAATTACCTATATTATTATTTTGATTATGAGCAAATTTCCGCTCACAAAAGAATACACATTGTGTTAACGGTACGATTGCATGTGCAAATAAATTGGTGTATTAATACCGAACGATTATTCGTTTCCTGTGTACATTTTGGGGGTTGTCAAACACTGAAATAGAACGGCCCATTTTAAATTTGTTTGTTCTATTACCGTTAATCATTTTTTTGGACGACTTCCTTTGTCACACTTTCGTTGCCGTCTTTTTTCTAATGTAGGTTTGGGGTTGGCTACCTTTCATTTCATGTTTGTATTGTGGTAATGTTCATAACCGGCTATAATTGAATGTAAGTAAACATATTGATCCGAATACATTACGGATTCACATCATCCTTATACTGGTAGGTATGAAAAGATAGTGTTCTTTTCTTCAAACTTCCAAAATTTTGCTTCAATTAACTCATTTGGAAAAATTTAAATGCAACTATTAAAACAAACAGGAAGGAGCGCAAAGGGGCGAGAGAATTAACGGCAATTCGAGGAACTGAGGGTAACTTGATCAATGCACTTGAGAAGAGCTTAAAAAGTATTTAAAACGGATTTCAGAGAAGAATTTTAATGAATCCATGAATTTCACAAGCGCGACAATGTAAATTTGGAAGTATAACTTAAGAAGAATTGAGGAGTGGAACTATTACTAGATTCAATCGCGCTGAAAATGTGCAAAGTGGAGGGTACAACAAATTATAGAAACTGATATTCATGGAACCACAAATGAACTAGTATAAGTACTACTAAGACAACTAGAAGAGGCGACGAGGCGGAGGAGCTGTTGGCCCTCAAGCCGCTCTTTTATACACATTACATCCAGGTGGCCACCATGCAGAGCCACGCACGCACATAAACGGAAATGGCTCGGTGAAGGCAGATTGGGCAAACCAGATTATGCCGAAGTACAGAGGGGTAAGACCGTAAGAGGTCGCGAAGGCAAAAGATGGCGATATCCAATAATGTGGCGCTTTGCAAGTGTGTGAGGTGTGCTCAAATGCTTGAAAGTGAGAAAAAATGGAGAGCAATTGCTATGTTCCTAACAAGCACTTTTTATTATTTGATTATTTGTCCAAATATTCGCCCCCGGAAAATTTCCCTCGGAATATTTAACTCCAAAAACACTCTCGCCTCCGGAATTTTCGATTCCAAGAAAATCGCCCTCGCAATATTTGCTCCCAAAAGATTCCCCCCTGGGAAAATTTGCCGGTATAATCTTCGCCCTCTCCGGAACTTCACCATATCGTCTTAGATTTTCGAAAAGTAGTCCTGATCAAAAATAGGGGTGAAAATTTTTATTCGCGAATTTTTTAAGAATTACAAAAATTTGTAGGCGGCCTTAAAAATTGTTCAATCTTTCGGATTCTACGCACCAAAATTAATAAGAAAAAGTCTTTTCCCGAGAAATTTTGGTGCAGTCGACTTTTGGTAAAAAAGGAAGGTTATATATACACTGCCTTTTTTTGAGCCCCGAAAAAAAAATTGTCTCAGATCGACCCGGAAGAAAATTTTTCTTATAGAATGTGGCCTGTGGAATCCATAATTTCAAACAGTTCCAAGACTGGGCTACTAGTTCAGAAGTTACAGCCCTTTGAATTTTTTTTCGAAATTGGTTTCTAGTCTATAACTTTTAATTGAGAAGTCTGATCGAAAAAGTACGAATTGTTTTGGATTCTACGCACCAAAATTAATAAGAAAAAGTGTTTTCCCGAGAAATTTTGGTGCAGTCGACTTTTGATAAAAAAGGAAGGTTATACACTCCCTTTTTTGAGCCCCGAAAAAAAAATTGTCTCAGATCGACCCGGAAAAAAATTTTTTTATAGAATGTGGCCTGTGGAATCCATAATTTCAAACAGTTCCAAGACTGGGCTACTAGTTCAAAAGTTACAGCCCTTTAAATTTTTTTTCGAAATTGGTTTCTAGTCTATAACTTTTGATTGAGAAGTCTGATCGAAAAAGTACGAATTGTACCTCGCTCCTCGTCTGAATTCGTCCTGGCCACCCAGGATCCGTGAGAGCCGGCCAATCAGTGTGAGCACCCCGTATCTGGGCTGTCTGGGCCCAACGCGTTGAACGACTCCTGTTTGGCGTCGTTCATTGTGAGGGAGGATACGTGGTACTTTTATATACAGTATGTCTGTATGGAGGAGAGCCATGGCACTTTATTGCGCATAAGGGTTACGTATTCCAGGCCCCGGCGAACACGGGCATCATAAGGCCCACTTCGTGGAAATTACGTTTTCAGCGTGGGTACTTCCGGGACAAAGTGGGCCCGGGTGTTAGCCAGCTGACGATAAGACCCTTGCAAACCCTCGTTTAGTTTCGCGCAAGAAAGTTGGGATTGCACAGTGGGATACGTAGCCGGGTGGCATATGGGGACCTGGACGTAAGAAGATCCTCCCCAGCTACTAAGTGTAGCATGTTTGAGTGTTGCTGAGTTAACATGATTAGAGTAATTATGTAGCTGAACGCGGGACAAAGGTGCTCCTTGGGTTTCTTGTAATTACAGTGATCCCGCCGGAGCGCAGCCATAGAGACCAGGTATTGTTAGAGGCCTACATCTTGACATTTTGTGGCCAGTTATAGATTTATTTAGACGGAACCTGGATTCAGCAGCACGAACAAGGTGAAAAGGTGTCCGAACACCTATTTTGAGGAGCTTCCGGACGGCGATCGCGGTGTTGGTGAAACGCTGGCTGAAGTGCGTCGAAAAATAAAATATATTTTGGCTCTGTATTATTATTACTTTCAAAGGAAACGACGCTCGTAGATTATTCCTTAAATGTGTAATATCCATAAAAGATATATGTTTCTTAATTTATAATTATATAATTGTATGCACCCAAGTGTTTAACTTTCTAAACGTTTATAGTCTTTAATGGCACTGAGTAGAGTTGAAAAACTTTAGCTACCTACTGTCACAATTTATAGAAAAAATCGCGATAATACTTTCGAATAAACTCATCACGCAAATAAAGAAGAAATTCAAAATTTTGAAAACCGCACACAAAAAAGGAACATTCAAAGAAAATGTACCAAATTGTGATAAGTAGGTTTAGAAAGTAAGTGCAGCTGCAGTGATTCCATTTTATGAAATTAAAAACAATGTATCATACTCTAATTATTCCATGGATATCCTTTTTTTGATTTATTGCGGTTAGCGAAATCTAGCTAGTTATTTAATTGTAAACGATCGTTAGTGATTGTATTCTGTCCGGAAAATTTACAATTTGTTTATATAAAAAGTTGCCAAACGATGACTTCATAATTTTGATTCACGGTCAACGAACACGAAAATTGCATAATACTTGCGTGAATCTCCACTAGCTGTTGATAGTTTTGGGTTGTTCACGTTAATTAAAACCGTTTTGTGTAAAACAAATTAAAAAAGAAAGTATAAATTTACCTACCTGATAACTATCCCAAGCCTGTTCTGACAACGAACTGGATTGCTCTTCGGTATTATTAAGGCTTATTTTACCAGGACTGTTTTCTCTTGCGTTGGATGTAAGATAATTAGTTGCCTCTCCTATTTTAAAGATAGGTATTCTGAAACAAACGGAAAACAATACAAGATCTTCGTTTTTCAGCGTTATTTGATAGCACACCTAAAACGTGTACATCTGCATCGTAAACGTGGCCATTATAAATGAATAGAATGTAAAGGATAGGACAATAGACGATAGTTAATAATCCATTAACAATTACGGAACTTTTAAACATATAAGGAACGTGCTTAACATACAAATCAAATCACTTCGGGCGATATAAGCAGACGTTTTGATCCACCATTGCCCCCTTATGTAATTGAAATAAAAATCATATGCACGAAAAAGTGGGTATACTTAAAACGTTTTTTTTAATGTGCTAAATCATTAACTTAACTAGTAATCATAGCTACGTAACAAAAATCAAAGCCGATTACGCTAACCATTACGTTCATTTAAAAAGCATTAATGTATAGGCGCCCAAGGAAAAATTACGCCCACCAGTAAAACAAACGTTTAATTTTGGAGCAACATCTCGATTATATGCGAGCTTGAGCGTTGACCCAAATGACGTCAATTTTAAATTTAGATTAGATGCAGAGAGATATTTCAAAAATATACGTGGTCGCGTATCCATCAATCAGGCACAATGCAAGAAGTCAACTAAATAAACATTTCTAAGACAGTGCGAAGATAAAATCGTGGATTACCAATAAAAGAATGACCCCGGCCCAACTACATTTTTTATACACATTTAATTGCCAATTTAATGTTGTCATTAACGGTTTTATTTTAGCGACCAAACTCCATTCTGCCAATAGTGGGTATCTAAACAAATTTGTGGCTTATGCGAAGAATTGCATGATACTCGGCATGGGTTCTTTAGGAGAAGGTCAACCATATCGAACTTATTGTAACGGTTAGAAGAATGAAAACGCTTTATGGCGTTTTCTAACCGAACAGTCTTCGATAGTCATTCTCCTCATTGAAATTAAGTTTTCATAAGAGCGCTATTGAGATGATCGTAAAAAGGTCGTTAAAATTGAGAACAATGAATCTATACCTATTACATGTAAGTCGAAGATAATGATATCTGAATTATTCATTGTCGCCGAATTCGGGACAGTGAATACTGGCCACTACAATAGCGCGAGGTGGTTCTGAAACGGGTTATAAAAAACCGCAAGTCAACTCTATTTCTACTATGGATGACTATAGAAATTCGTTTAGCCCAAGGTTGTTGTTATTGTCCATATTAAAAATTTATCGACCGTTTGATTGGTTTTATCCAGCCATGATTAAGTAAAAATATGCAAATACATAGCAAATACACAAAATAATACGGCAATTGCTTCCATGTATCCGTTAGTTTGCGACAGTTTTTCACTGAAGTTAATTGTTATTCAAAAATCACCGCGTATAGTTCAAATTTTCTCAGAAATTTCATACAATCGTTCGTAAGTTTCCACAAAACTTTCGTTGTTAGAAACAAATTGAAATTGTGGAAAACTTCACACTGCCCTGACATAAATATGTACTTGAATTGTTAAGTTTTTGTAAAACCGTGGATTGTTTCGCCAATTTCGTTATATAAATGTAGTTTATCCGTGGGAACATGGCATCTATGCGAATTTACATTATCATGCACGTAGCTAGAGCGAATTTAATGTGCGGCATTTACGTGGGCCCCGAGGTGGGCCCAAAAAGAGTTTGGAGGAGCCTATCCTTATATACACAAAATTTTACTAACTATACTCTATTGTTATTAATGTTTGTGTATGAAAGATCTTAAAATCGATTATAATTATACAGGACAAGTTTTTTTTGTAATAAAGCATAAGCTCTCAGAAACTAGCGGAGATAGAAAGACGAATCAATGCTGGGGAAAGAAACTACATTTTTCTATTTCGGTGTCACAATGATGATTTTGTACAACTGTTTTCGGCCGAAAACAGTTGTACAAAGACAGTGATTATAGTCGGTTTTTTTTGGTAACTCATTTCTCAAGTTGGCAGTTACTAGTTAGTACAAGTAGGTACTTCGTTGGGTACTTCCATGTTTGAACTTCAAAATGTCAGTCTTACTACGCTGCCAACCTAAAACTTAACGGCATAAAAAGTGTTCCCAACATAAAACATGTTAGTTCTAATGTTCCCTATAGTTTCTGATAATGATTTTTTTAATTAAATTAAAGCACCGAAATAGAAAAAATAGTATGAAAAACGCGTGTTACAATGCTTTATTGTAATACTCCTAGCTTGCGGACACTCGTGGCTACGCTTCGCGTCGCCACTCGTGCCACAAGATAGTCGTATTACAATAGGTCGCATTGTAACACTTGTTTTTCAATATACTATTTTGTACTTCTTTTGTTAGGACCAAAATATTTTAGACATCAATAATGATATCAAATATGAGAACTTCGCAATTGTCATTTCTTCTGATACATCTTCGACCGGCTGAGAAGCCTGATGTGGTTCCGTAAGTACCCATGGCTTCGGGTCGGAAGATGATAAGCATGGCGACATTAATATCTTGGAATTGAAAGCAATTTTTTATGGAATTTGGCAGTGGTGCGAGTAAATGAACCTCTTGTTGTTCGCTTCATATATTAGCTCAATCTAGAGTCTAGACAAATGAACGAAGATATCGAATGGTCTCTTTCGCACAAATCTAAGATTAGAACTGTAGCGTTTGGGGAACCCGAAGTAGATTTATTCGCTTCCTTTATACACAAAAAATGCGACCGCTTTATTTCTTGGCTAAGAGATGCAGGAGCTGTGGCCGTAGATGCATTTACCATAAATTGCTCTAATTTAGCCTTTTACGTGACCCAAAAGATTATAAAGGGGTCCTTTGGATCAAGCTTCTTGTACAATGGTATAACTTTTGCTACTTTTAGCCGAGTCGGAAATTTACCACATTATATTGATATATTTATGAGTAGAGCTCCTGGTATAGATATGGTACGCGAAAGCAACGCGGTACTCTTTCACTATGGAGGTGGGAACTTCATCAGAACCTTTTCGATTTCGACATTCCGCCACAGGTGGCATAAAGAATGAGTTAGAACAGAAATTTTGTTGACTGGTGAGGTCGTTGCTGCAGTTTGTAACGTGGGGGCTAACTAAATTTTCGACAGAATTTGAGAAGAAATTTCCAAAGATACTTTATAAGGATCTTTAAGAAACTGTTCATGAATATAACGGATGTGAATATTTTTATTAGCGGAGTTGGTATTGGCCAGCTTATTTTTTCCCGTCGGGACGTTTGTATTTGCTGTTACGCTACTGTATGACGTCCTTTGGGATTCAGAAAGCTTATTTTTATTGTAGGTGTGGGTTCTTCTTTTCGTTCAATTTGGGATGCTACGTTCAGTAATCACTTGCCTTAAAAGCTCTATTTGCTAGCTAGGACGTTAAAAAGACTTGGGGGGCGTTGCTTTTTATCGAATGACAACTTACAAATGCTGTGGAGTCCTTTGCAGAAAGAATTTTTTCGAAGGTTATAGACAAGCTTCATAACTAGATAAGAATAAGACTACGCGCTGTCGCGCTCGTTGGAAGAGTTTACAGCATCAAAATAGAGTGAAGAAAAACACTAATATCATGGCTGGTAACTAATAAGTTTTCTTAGTAATAGTCGAAGATTTATAATTATGTAGACTTGTATTATCACTTTTTTTTGTAATCGTAGCGTTAACTCAAATGAAAAAGTTGCACTGTTTCATGCACTAATCCAGTGAAAGGCATAATTATCAAATCAACGATAAAAATTAGAATCTGACTTTTCATGGCGATATACTTTTAGCGAAATAGTTACTAAAATCATGATATGATTACACCTTCTAAGAGTGTGTAATTTGGCTGGCTTTTTACGAATATTATAGCCTCTCCATATTTAATTTTTGTAAAAGCATACTTAGACGAGTGAAAAACAAAAAAAACAAAATTAGACATGTGTAAGCATCATTACCATTTCCCCTAACTTCCCAGCAACTATTTAAATAGCTTTGTCATGACCGATTTCGTTATTGCATTAGATGGAACACGTGCGAGTGAAAAAAGAAAAGCGTTGCCTTAAAAGGTGCTGCAAATGAGTTTTTTTTTCTCAATTTTTACGGTTAAAAACGATGTAAAAGTAATTTGCGCTCTCAATATGCCTCAAATTTAACATACAATGAAACAAACTACTGACGCGGCACGCTTCTAATGAACTGATCTATATTTTCTAATTAAAACATATTTGTGTTGAAAACTAGTTAAAAATTTAGGACAGATTGGCATTTTTCCAAAATTTGAACAATGTAGGCCACTATCTAAAATATTTGCCCGTGCTATAGAATTCATTTTTACGGGTCAAATATTTGGAGTACTCCTAATTGAAAGCCGCGAACAGTCAATTAAATAATTATCTTACCCCTTATTATGCCTATCTTCGTCCGTTTCAGCATCGCTGGTATAATTTGACAAAGTGTACAGTCCTTGGTGTCCATAATGGATAGTCGAAGGATCGCTGGAGGTGTGTCGTTCGTTACTCGAAATCTTATAACTAGAACCAGAAAAAGACCCCGACTTAATTAGTCTTCCAACACGTTCGCGCGTATTTTCGATTGATGCACAGGGTTCGTTCAAACCTTTCCGTCGAGACTGCAACAGCAAACACAAATAAATACAACAAAATTTGAAAAAATTGCTTAGACTTACACTACTTTTTTTTCTCAACTTCAATCGCCTTCGGCGTGCAGGCGTACTGTTATGCTCTACTAAAATGGTACCGCCTTCCTCCATTGTTGATGAAGTAGAATTATTTTGATATACACTAATACTATTCGCACTAGCTGTCAGGCTCTTCGAATATTTTGGACTTAATGACAACTGATTAAGTGCAGACTCTGAGATCGAAAAATTTGAAGCGCATTTGTTTCCTCTGAAATGAAGCCAATTTTGAAAAATTACTACAAGACTCGCGGTAATCTATCCAAGTAATTACGTAGTCGCTTCCAATTACTTCTAACCCGAGTTATAATTTTGAAGCATGTCTGTTAATTTACCGCATACATGCTGGGATTTTAATTGTTCAAAAGACGCTCAGTTTTGAGTAACGTACACGTTTCAATTAAAAAGTAACGAGTTTTAATCATTCTGTCATTAAAATGATTTAAAAATACGCATGATTCATGCCACAAGTTAATAAACCGAAGTATGAAAATCAGGAAACGTTATATCGTACAAATATAAAGTTACGGTCATAATTACATCGTCCATGTCGACAAATGGAATGATCGTATGGGAACCGGCGAGATTCCAGCACGTAGCAGAAAAATTGCGACAATTTCAAATATAATGTCAGTGGCTTGTGAGTTACGCGTAAAGTAGCGTTGGGCCGGCAATTACCAGATGGTAACTAACGTTATAAACCAGTTCAATACATGCCGTGCTGTCTAATTTGTGTTACAATCGGATATGAACTTTAAGTAATAGCGTCGTAAAAGCTCCACTTAAGGCACCATTTTTTTATTACCATAAAGTAAACGCTGAAAGGCAGTGCACTATTTGGTTTAGTAAGCCGGAACTCACTGAAATCTTATAGAAGTTTCCGCCGTTAGTCAATCACGCGTTACATAATTGTGCCCTTCTGTTAAAAACTGGGACAGAAATCAAGAAATACTAAAACGTGGTTTTCTAATGACAGTAATCAAAGCAGCGTCCAGCTATTTCAATTTTGGTATAACTGTTTCATTGGAAGCGGTCGTAATTAGTTTGGATGCTTAAACAAGTACCTTGGCAGTGCAGAAGGTAAGTGAGAAATGGAAGCAATACTCCAAGGTCGATTTCTTTTGAGATCTACCCTCTTTTGCCGCAATAACACTTTCGGCGGTGAGGTATCGTTTTTATCACTATCTACAGAGACACTGGGTAAAACGTCTTGAGGTGCCCGACAAGTCGCCACGCTTTCGTTCAGGTCTTCCGAAGATTCAGATTCTTTATCTTCCTCTTCGCAACTGGCGTCACAACTGTAACTGGGCTTCTCCATATTAAGCCACTGTTTGACGCGTGACATTTTACTTAGCGGCGCGTCTACGTTTGCTTTGATCTTCTTTACGGGAGATTCTCTAACTAATTCTTCGGCTTTCTGTACCAGTCTTTGTATGTCTTGGCAGGGCGATTTCGATGGCGAGGAGTTTGTGGGCTGAATCGTGGCGGGCAATTTTTTCTCGGTGTGATTTGTATCGTTAGCAGTGTAGGTCCATTCGTCTTCAGAGCTGTCTTCCATCGGCGTTAGGGGCTTCAATTTAGTGCAGGTTGGAGTGTGTACTTCGGAATCCGTCGTATCTTCGTGTTTGAAATAGTACGTACCTAAGTTTGGTGCTCGGCGATTTGATCTATCAAGAGTAAAATAAGTCAGTCAAATTTCAAAAATTGTATTACGACAGATTTCCTCTCCACCCTCCAGGACCGGACTGGACAGGCAGGTGAACATTTCGTGTAGGCTACGACAATATATGTCTGCTCCCCCCGGACCAACTCAATTTTTTTAAGCACACGATTTAAACCTTCAAAGAAGCACAATGCCATTAATGTTAAAGCTTGATATAGGAATTCTTTCTCGGAATACCCTTCACTAAGTACCAGAACTGTAAAATGCGAATTTCAACCAAAATAAAAGAAGACCTCGTGTTTTTAGACAAGGATGATGTTTGACCAAAGTTTGCATTGAAATTTGAGTTGATAAGATAACGTAAACGAGAACTCGATTCTTTAAGGGATTGCCAAACTTCCAATGGAAAATCACGGCGGTTAAACCCACCATCGCTGAGAACGGTAGGTGATAATATACACCCAGTCAGAGGGTCCTTGCTCGATTGTTAGTAAACACATAAGGTCCGTTTAATCATTAGACATCTAGAGACTTCGCTAATTAAAATGAGCTCCAGGTGAATGCTTATGAAAGGTGCCCTGTAAGAATAATAACCCCCCCCCCCCTCCAAAAGTTGACCCCCGACGAATTCCCTTCAAGAATAATTAGAGTGAAATTCGCATAGAAGGACGCATGTAAGATATAAGCTAAATTCGTCCCTTCGAAAAACTCTCGCAGAAGGTGTAATTGGCTAAACCCGCTAAACAGACCCAAGAGTCTACTTGGAAAGTATACGTTTGCATAAAATCTGGTTTTGATTTAGTTAGTGTATGCTGATTGCATTGAAACTTTGAAGTATAGTGTGATTGGCGGTAGGATCCCAGTATAGGTTTATCTCGGTAGGCCACAGTAAAGCAGTCCGGTATTGGGCTTGGTCGAGAGGAAAATAAACCATAGTACCATAACATACTTTGTAAATGAAGAAGAGTCTTCCGTGCACTTAACCCTCTCTGGAGTCAAACAAACCAACTCGCCTTTTTTCTGGTTTACTCGTTTACATTTGTCGTCAGCCACCTTAGGTTTTACCATTGTGACAATACTATCATCGATGATTTCGTTATCTTCCACGCCGTTTTCATTAGCTTCGTCCTAAAGGTGCAAGATTAAAACGGTTTCGTTGGTGGTTTTGCTCAATACCTTGCACAAAAGATGTTTTTCGCTAAAACAGTCGCCTAACCGAGGATATTTGTGTAAAGGTTCATTATCTAGGTCACTGTCGGAAGATTCTGTTTGGGTGTTATTGCTCTAAAAGACGCAGTATGGAATTCGACCCTGTCTTGTGCATGCTGCATACTTACTTTACCCGTGACACCTTCGTATAGAGTATCGATGAAGCATAGCCATTCTAGAGACCTTAGGAATAGTAGATGCCAACGTCGTTCCAAACTCCTAGCAGCACGTCCGATATTAGCCTGTTCTTTACCTACCTCATTGTTCGCTTTGCACAATTTGACCACCGAGCCGACTATTTTTCCTTGACTTTCAATATCGCGGTGCAAAGCCTGAAACAAAAATTGTACGTTACTCACCGATTCGATCACACTTTATATCTTATAAGTACTAACTCAAATGAAATAAATAAAGTTAAATAATCCGGAGTAAAGAATCAACAATGACCCGCACGTCAGTTGCGTAAACGTTTTAAATAAAAAAAAACTAAGTATCAGCCACATTCAATTGTTTACCTAGGTGGCAAAGGAGAATTCAGCTTAGTGAAAAGAAGAAAAAGTTCAAAAAAGTTTTCTAGGTCATTTGCCTAAAAGCCATTATACATGAGCAGCAAAGTTTATATATTTCCTGTTTATTTCGCATCTAGCCTCTGTACACCTATTGACGCATTTCGAAAAAATAAAAAAAAGGCGCTATTGTGGCCCCTTTGTATGTCCGTCTGTTTGTTCGTCCTTCCGATATTGACCTAATTTTTTCGGTATTTGATTCCTTATGGTATCGACGCTTGCACCAAGGAAGGAATTTTTTCTGCGCATCTCACGGAAGAAGATACAGCAACAAATCTATTTTCTTCTTTTATCACAATTTTTCGTATATTGTCAATGTCAATTTGGTCACCTTGCGTCTCGTGGGGGATCAGTGGTATGGGGGTATACATATTATGATTCCACAATAATATAGACTGTACGGGATGAACTTTCCCGCCTCTCCCAGAATTTAGTCAACTGTCGTGGGGATGTGTCCCTGGTAGGTAATAACGAAACAAAAATTCTAAGGTAATTGAGGATTCACAATTCTTTCGAGAATCGTTTGAAACCTTCAAGCTCATTTTTAACGCTAGAAAGTCTTAAGCGCCCCGTCCTTAAGGGTTAAAAAATTTAATTAAAAAATTTCAATATACCAGTTTCCCGGGTGTAACAATGAAGAAAACATTTTGGGACTATACAAATGTGCTTTGCAACTGTTCGCTACATGTGCGTGAAGAAATATTACATTAGCCCTATAATTACTAAAACATTTATATGCTTAAGGCACTTTCTTGGTAAGTAAAACTGATATGGAATTACAGCATTTGTAATTAAAATCTTTTTTTTGTATCAACACGCAATGGAAACGCTAGTTTTAGTTTTACCGTACTTCCTTTCATAATCGTGACCGAACATCAATTAACACGACCTTCGTATACGAGGTAAGAATGGGAAATAATCGGACGGAATTGCAGCCGGAATTCGAAATGAGGATTATGTGCATCCCATATCATTGTATGTCTGTTCCTGTATGCATATTTCTAGACAAATTTATAAATTACGTCCAATGAGATTGTTCCACTGAACTTGGCGCTCAAGGCGTCATTTTATACGAAAATAACTTCGGGTGCTTCCTCCTCATAAACTGGCTGCAGATGGTCGAGACGTAAATATTTCATCATTAGCTTGCCATTGTTATAACGAAGACCAACTGGTAAATCTGTATTAACCAATTAGTACATAATTGATGATATAGCCACGTGCCTCTTTCGGTCAACTAAGTTTGTAATTGGTAACTAATGAATGTTTGCGTTAATGGTTGGGTAGTAAAAGAAATAGCAGCAGAAGTACCTCAAAACGCGAATTATTTTGCCGTGACCAAGAATGTGTGCAAATGTTGATGATTTCACTGCAACCCACGAACCGTCAAGTTTTGCGAATTTCAATTGGATACCGAACTTCCGGAAGACACGGACGGAACTTTAAATATGCAAATTTCGTAGGTCATAGATACCAGATACAAAAGGTAGCTTCTTTGTTACTCCTAGCCTTGGGCGATCATAAATTTGTAACAAACAATAAGTGAAAACAACAATCCCCTCTTTATTCTAGAGTAAAGGACGATTACGTCACTATGCCCCAAAACCTAATGTTTTTTTCGCAATTATAACAACTTCCTAGTCACGCCAAAATTGAGTTGTAGCTATCGGGTAATTTATTACAGCAACTTATGAAGGATTGTTTCCAAATCAATTACTGCGAATGTCGATTACTCAAAACCGGTGCGGAATGTATGAGAAAAGTAGTGGGCCTAAGTTGGATCCCTGAGCAATGTTCTAATTATATGTTAGTATAAAGCGTTTTATTAGAAATTGAATCGGTCTTGCTTTCATTTTTGACAAAGCAAATCGATGAAAGAACTTTATATTTTTTCTAGCATATCTTCATTCCTCGTGAGATGATAATGGGGAAGTCTTGACAAAACTGAAACCTAGTAATCAGAACTATGGCATAACATTATCTACAATAGTTCCATTTGTAACATAATTCGTCAACTCATTACGGATTAGGAGTAAAAATCGTTCCCAGTCATTGCGAGACATTATCGATACGTCTTATCTTTTATCCGCCCTTATTATAAACGGCGAAGACGAGGGGACACTTACTTCGAAGTACTTTAACAATAATTTCCATAAGTATTTAAATAATTTGGTAATCTTGTACTTTGAAGTAGTTAACACGACAATGCCAATTGTAATTAAAACCTCCGTGATTGCCTTGATCTATCAAATTTTGATCTAGTTTTGATCAACGATCTGACTTGGGTGATTCTAAACAACTTCACATCAAAGATAAAAAATTTCATATTCCTAATTTTCGCCCATCATAATTATAGCATTATGTCAGTACCACATCATGACCACTCTTCTCCTAACAATCTATACTCCAAATAGGCTTTAGCATTAGCTGGATTTATAAGTTTAAGCATAGCTTGTGCCTTGTAATGTTTTGCCGCATGCTTTGCATACTACCTTTTTAGTGGTTGAATTTTGTTTATTACACTCCTGAAAATCTTTCCAGGCTAAAAAAAGTTCCTTATCCAAAGTTGTTTTTATGTAGGTAAAGTCATTCGAAATTGGGGAAAAGTAATTAAAACAGCTGAATTTTCGGAGGTTGAGAGCAGTCGAAAGTTACATTTTGCAATTTGTGGCAAAACTACTAATTTTAGGCTAAAATGTTCGAAGTACAGTTGAAGGAATAAATAAAGAAGAAGCCCTGTATCTACATTTTTTCATATAACCTCAAATATTCCGAGAAAAACCGAAACTCTATCTTTATTTTTGCGAAAAAAAAGTCGCAGGGGTCTGAAATTTGGAGGAACATTACGACAAAAAAAAACAATTTTTGGGCCCGCAAAGTTGGGCCATTTTCGAGATATTCCACGATCTTTTTTTCAGGGAGATCAAAAATCTATTTTTTTTTATCATACAGAGCTCCGCGTACTTAGCAAAATTTTCGTAAAGACTCATATTTTAATAATCAAAAATTAAAGAAATATACTTCCGATAGAAAAATTTCGAGAAACTTCTAATACCACAAACAGAACAATCCAGCTGGCAGCTACGTTTGTTTCTGAGATACAGGGTGAAAACGAAGTTTGATTTTTTGGGCTGTTATCCTATGTTCCTACCCATGTAAGATAGAAAAAAGGTAAAAGCTGCATATTCCAGTAGTAGTAAAAAAAACTTTTTGACCTAAACTTGGTATTTTCTTAATGTAGGTAACGTCCATTTTTTTGCATTCCTTTTCCTGATTGCATTGATGTATCACAACCTATATTTTTCATAGCCATGAAAATCTTAAAAACCTTATTTTTTACTGTTTTTAAATAGTTATTTTATTTTGTTTATTGTATCTATGGTAACTAAGACAGCCGATACCAATCAATAAATGGCTGGCGGTAGAAATAATATAAGTAAACATTGCCCGCATTTTTAAGTATAAAATCCATTGTAAAACAGAAAAAAAGTGGTTCCATTTAAAAAATAAAGTTTTTGCATTTTCTACTACTGGACTATCTGTATTAGAAAAACAAAATTTCAATATTTGGGAGTGGAAAGGTTTTAAGAAATTATTTTATCAGTAGAATATTGATGCAAGGTTTCAAAATGTGGAGATTGAAGGGCGCACAAAGGCGCGGTTTGTAAATGCAATGCAGCTTTTATTATAGATTTCCACTTGAAACCCTGAATTTAAAAATTTCGAGCACGAAGACTTAAATAATTTAAAGCGTGGATCATGGAAAGAAGTATTTTCAAGTCAAAAGTCAAAAATACATTTTCAATTCTGAAACTACAGGAATTTTAAGGTGCCGCAGCTTTATATTTTCACTTGAAAAACATTTCCTAATTTCGTAATTTGAAAATCTGTACATAAAATAAACCGATTCAACGGAATATCGAATGATCCTCAGTATTACCATCACTTCCTTAACGGTAATTGCATGCATCAAATTAATCTCTTGGACATTGAGTTAATGCTCTTAGGCGTTTTCCCAAGGAACTTGGTGAACGAATAACGATTTTTACATGCTTTGATCAAAATACATATGGTAAAAAATGCATTAAATATGTTTTCAGCATTGAGATGCTGCTCTTGGTCTTTTTCCTAACGATCTCGGTGGAAAAATAACAACTTTGATGTTTTGTGTAAAATCCATGTGTATTTTAATGAATAGCAGGAGGCAGTGGAGAGGGTTCCTAGAATTGATCTTATACTCTGGGATGATAGGCACAAGAATCAGTATTTCCGTCGACTGTAGTCTACACCCTTCAAAAGGTGAATTTTAATGGTGAACGTGATCTAGAAAATAAAAGCGTTGGTAATCCAAATTTGTTCCCCATATACGTCCCACGGTAGGATAGATGAAGTTTAACGTACTGAAGGAAATATAAATGGAAGTACGGTCGCAAACATTACACTTAAAGTTTCTGAAATTCCGCATTCCTGGCCTACTTTGCAAATACTTTAACTACAGCCAATTTGTCTGCCAAATATTTTAAGAATATAAACAAAAACTTTCGCCGATATAGTTTAAAAGGCTTCCGCCGGACTACGTCAAAACTTTTGTGAATAAAACTTTAAAATTGATGTAGATACGATCTGAATGCGAAAGAACAAATAGAAGGTGAATTAAGTTGGATAATTGATTGAGAAAGTAAACGTTTTCTAATTAAAGCTGTTCTTATAACAAAAAGAGTTTCGTGTTTATATGGTTTATATTTTTTCGGATTACATGTATATCG